TTGTTTGACTTAGTGCAGCAGCACTGCAATTGGTTTCAGTTTCAGTCCCAGGTTCAGTTAAATTTACGCAGCTGGTAACAGGTTATTAAAGCCTGTCGTGTAGCCCATCAAGGAGGCGACACGGTTAACTTAAAAAGTTGGACTGTTAAGCACTACAGTTACTGGAAACAGACTCGGAGAAAGCTGAGTCGCAGAATGGGGAGGAGCTGGATTCTCCTCCCCCCCCCCAGGAGATCCCAGAAGTAACTCCTCTAATAGATAGTCAGGAAGGGGTTAACTCTCTATCCCCTAACACTGAAATAGCAGAATTTATTGCCTCATTAAAGAAATGTTTACTCTCTCTTATCACTACCTCCACAGCCCGACAGCACCCACGGCTTATCCTGTCTCTTTGCCACCGCTGCTCCTGCAGTTCTCCTTCGGGCTAGAACTACTTTCATTTTCCCTATAGTACGGCTGCTTTTTGGCCCTGGTGTTGATCCACAGTACCCGAACGGGGGACAGCGTGTTACTTATCATGCCTTTCAGTATAAATTCCTGAAGGATTTGAAACAGGCCGTCCAAGCTTATGGTCCACAGTCCCCTTTCGCTCATGGTCTTCTGAACGCCTTTTCTAGTGAGAACACATTCTTATACCCTTGGACTGGGAGAATATTGGCAAAACAGCCTTAGAAGGCCCCCAATGGTTGCAATTACGCAGCTGGTGGGTAGAGGAAGCTAAAATTCAAACACAACTCAATGCACAGCGGCAACCTCCAGGTCCCACGGAGGAGGAGCTTATGGGGTCGGGACAATATTCTACCCTGGACACGCAGGCGGCCATGGAGGACCCAGCCTTAATGCAGGTGAGGTTGATTTTTCTCAAAGCATGGAGAAAAATTGAAACCTCAGGTCAGTCTACGCCATCCTTTGTAAAGACCTTGCAGGGTCCCACGGAGCCCTATACCGATTTTCTATCTCACTTGAAAGAGGCAGTCTACCGTGGGATGGGAAGTTCTGAAGCTGCCTCCCTTATTCTGCAATCTTTGGCTGTTGAGAATGCCAATCCAGATTGTCAAAAGATTCTCAGGCCTCTGAAGGCTAGTGGCAGGACATTGGATGAATATGTACGAGCCTGTGCTGGGGTTGGTGGCGCTGCTTATCATATTTCTTTGTTGACCGGAGCTATTCAAAAGAGGTCTAATCGGCCTGTCTGTTATAATTGTGGCTGATCTGGCCATCTCTGTAAAGAATGCAGAAGGAAAGGCGGGACTTTGTTACACAAACCTCAAAAGCCTCCTCCTCCGGCGATTTGTACCTGTTGTGGAAAGGGGCCTCATTAGGCCAGCGAGTGTCGCTTCAAAACTAATAAAAATAGAAATCCTCTGCCACCTCTGAGTAATAACCAACCATCGAGAAATTGTTTGCGGGGCCCTCAGTCCTGGGGCCCCCCAAACAACAATACGGGGCTTCAACAGTATCCAGTGAGCTACGGTCTTGCACATCAACAGATCAATCCTTGAAAGTTACACAATTGTATGCTGCTACCTCTGGGAGTGCAGCTGCCGATCTGGCGGTTGCTAGGACCTATACCTTAACACCTGCTGGGGGGTGTTCACAAATTATCCACCCAGGTATATGGTCCCCTTCCAGAAGGTAAAATGGGTTTGATCATTGGTCGTAGCAGCTGCACTGTTAAAGATATCTTTGTTCATTTGGGAGTTATTGATTCAGATTATATTAGGGAGATACAAATTATGGTTTCAGTTTCTCATACAACTCAGATATATGCTGGAGATCATATAGCTCAATTCCTTTTGCTGCCCTACACTCCTTTTGCTACACGTGATGTTGAAAGAACAGGTGGTTTTGGTAGCACAGGTAATAAAGTTTTTTGAGAGACCCTGATTCAAGATGCTTGCCCTGTTTTCACATTGACTGTTGCCAGTCACCAATTCAAAGGTTTGGTGGATACTGGTGCTGACATTTCCATCATCAGCCTCTCTCAATGGCCTTCTGATTAACCCAAAACTATTGTCCCTGCAGTCTTATCTGGCTTAGGCCAAGTTCAGTGTGTTTATTGCAGTAATGATGTCTTGAAATGCCTTGGCCCTGACGGGCAGCGAGCCTCCTTGTCGTTTTATATTGTTGACATTGCTATTAACCTAAGAGGCAGGGATCTCCTTCATCAATTTGGAGCAATTTTATCTATCCCTTGCCTTGCTCCTAATGTCAAAAACATGATGCTTAAAATGGGGTATAACCCCCTGCTTCCTATAGATTCTTCTACTTCTTTAAACTAGTTGCCACTGCTCAGGAAATTCCTCGAGCTCTGCCCCTACACTGGAAAACAGATACTCCTGTGTGGACTGAGTAGTGGCCACTACCCTTTGAAAAGCTCGAGGCCTTAAAAATGTTGGTTTCTAAACAGCTCACTACAGGTCATATTAAACAGTCTACTTCCCCCTGGAATTCTCCTGTTGTTATCATCAGAAAAAAGTCAGGTAAATGGCACTTCTTGATGGACCTGCAAAAAATCAATAAATGTATCCAACCTACGGGTCCTTTATAGCCTGGTTTGCCCCTTCCTTCTATAATACCTAGAGGATGGTCAATGCTAGTCATAGATTTAAAAGACTGTTTTCTCACTATACCTCTTCAACCCTGTGACAAGGAGTGTTTTGCCTTTACCATTCCAAAATACAACAATGGCCGTCCTACAGAACGGTATCAGTGGTGGGTTTTGCCCCAAGGCATGTTGAATAGCTCCACTCTCTGCCAGGAGTTTGTTGATCATGCTATGAATCCAATGCATCTGTGACATCCTGCTGTTATGTTGTACCATTATATAAATGACATTCTTTTAGCAGCTCCTACTACAGCCGAACGAGATGCTGCTTTTTCTGATCTCCAACAACAACTAACTTCTTATAATTTAATTCTAGCACCAAAAAAGATTCAAACTGACTTGCCTATCGACTGTCTCGGCTATTGCCTATCAAAAATATAGATTCGACCTCAAAAATTACAAATTCGCAGGGAAAATTTAAAGACTTTAAATTATTTTTAAAAACTCTTGGGAGACATTAATTGGCTCTGCCCAACTTTAGGCATTCCCACCTATGCTCTACAGCATTTACTTTCTACCTTGAAAGGTGATAGTTCCTTGACTAGCCCTCATATCCTTACCTCACAAGCCAAAAAAGGAGTTGCAGTTTGTGGAACAATGACTTACCTCTGGAACTTTGACATTCCTTGACCTTTTCTGCTCTATAATTTTTTATGTATTTCATACACCCCATTCACCTTCTGGATATTTAAGTCAAGACCATGGCATTCTTGAGTAGCTGTTTTTACCCAATCAACAGAACAAGAAACTGACTACCTATTTGGATAAGCTTGCTTCTTTGATCATTCGTGGCCGATGACATTGTGCAACTTTCTG